TCATACTGTTGATGTAGACATTCGGGAGTTAGAGCATTTTACTATATTTCTTCTAGCTTGTGTTTCCGTGAGTTTCCGGGTTTTGGGATAGTTTTGTAGAAGGTTGAGTTATTGTGCTATATATACCGAGTGACATTTTATATTTCGCTTACATTTTGTTAAATTTTGATTTTAAGTTATATTTCCACAAAGTCTCGATTGTTTTTTTCCGCATTGCTAGGCTTATCTAGTCGTAGATGACTAGGTGCCGTCACGACAGTTCACGGAGGGCGAACTGGGGTCGTGACATGCCTCCCTAGAGCTACTACAGCTACAAGCCGAGCATAGGTCTTTCAATATTTGCGCCCGATATATGCCTTTCTCTTGGCAATGGTACACCCACATTCTTGGTGGACGGATATAATACACTCTTTGATATTGTGCCTTATGGATGCTTCAATGTGTGGAATCAAGAGAAGAGAAATCAAGTCAACATCCAAGTTGAAGTGATTCCCACTGAATGTGTCCATTTCACAATTGTGGGTGCTAATGTATTTACCTACTTTCCACATGCCTGTTTTCTTCTTTATCGCACGCAACATCCAATTACAATCCGTAAACCATCTACGCCAAATAACCTTGTATACATCCGGAGATGACTCCCATGCCGTCATCTCACGACACTCTTTTACTCTATACATTTTCACAGCCCTGCTTAGGCGCGCCTTATCAGGAAAAAGCATTCCCTTTAACTGCACCATTGGTCTAGATTTATCCCACATTGCTGTCCGAAGTTCGTCAATATCCCTTGTAAGGGCATCCACTTCCGGCGTACTTGGCAAATTATCAATGTAGGGAAAATGCCTTGAATGAAATGGTACGTGGGGCTCGTACACTCTTGATCTAACGGGAGGTAGAGCATGCTCCCTCGTCAAATCAGGTTTGTCATTCTCTTCCTCCTCATCATCACCCTCGTCAAGGAAGGGTGTGTCGTCTCCAGACTCATTGGCATTATTGTCATAATCACTATTCTCTTCCTGGCTCTACGCATCTGCCAGATCCCGAGCAAATACGTCATCTTCGGGCAATTGAGTGAGGATAAGACCATCAAGTTGCTCGTTTTCACTGCATAACCAAAGAAATAATGAGTTACTGAAATTGGTCCAAACAATACATATAACTTTAAATATTCACTTACAAATCATAATGTGTTGATATCCCATGATGCACATTATCTTGTTGATACTGACTCCCGAATGGATCACCACGATCCAACACACCAAAACTAGGCATATTTCAATTGGCCGTCAGTTCATAACTTGCAAAATTCATATCTGGTCGGTACCTCCTATAGAGTATATGAGTGTTAATACAAATATAATACACAAAAATATACATCGTAACACAAAGGAAATTGAAGTTTACCACTCGGCTTGCAAATTATGTATACTAGGGGAGAAATTATTTCCTCGTTCCTCATTCGCCCGTGGATATAAGTTTAGATCCGTACTCTTTCAGCCGGAACCTGTTCGGCTAAAAATGCTCCAAAATAACGACCCGATGATTGAGAGATTTCCCTACTTTGCGCAACCTCATTATTGCTAACGTCTTCAGCCTTGACGTACATTTCCAATAGTTTTATCACAATAAATTTCCTGTATTCATCCGGAGTCCCCAAAAAATCTCTCAGAGTTTCATCGTCTTCGATGTTAAACTCAGCATAACAAGCAACCCCTTATGCAGTAATATAATATAGATATCTTCCGGTTATTTTAAGATTCACCGAACGTTTGCTCACGCTCATTTTTTTTTACATATCAACGATACCAATTTATTGTACTCCATTATAATTGGCAACTTAACATGAGACTCTGGAAATAAACTATAGCTTACTGATTTATTTACCACCATAACCTCACCTCCCCCCTCCCCCCCAATATAATGAAACCCTAATTTTTCGCTCTTCAAACATTATGACAAAATGCAAAATAACTTAACAAAGAAAATTTTTAGAACACTTGAAGATGTTTATGAATGAATTTTTACAAAATCCTTCACCTCTTTAAATAAGGCAAAACCAGCTCAGGGGTTCAATTATTAGAGGTATGGCGTCTTTTAAAAAAACGCTATACCCAGTTGAATTATTGTTATATCAGTTAAGCACATAAAAATTATTTGTGGGCCCACTTAATATGTATAGTGTTTTTAGTAGAGAATGCTATATATAAGTATAGCGTTTTACTGAAGAATGCTATATATATATATATATATATATATATATATATGCTATATTTTACTTGCCAAACGGCCGTTAATAAAGTATAGCGTTTTTCAAAAAAACGTTATACATATTTTGGTCACTAAGTGTTTTTCTACATATTTTCGTTCTTTGAGTCTAAAAATATCACATTTTGGTTCCGGACCGCTCCTTCTTCATTAAAAGAAAAATTGCATGTACTATAAGAAGTAGGATTTAAATCATATATAAAATAGTATATACGATTTTATACTATATAGTACTACTACTGTTTTACATGTTGTAACATGTCATTAATTGTGTTTCGCAGGACGTTATCAATCCATGTTTATCATAAATAATTGTTCTTATTTGTAATTTCTTTTAAGTTACTAGATAGTGAACGTCTTTAAATTGTCCGTGTATATTAGTTAAACTCTAAGAAATTAGGTGGATGAGATGCTGACCATGTCATTTTCAGAAATTTTGCCCCTTTTTTAGCGTGGGTTAATTTACTGTATATTTTTTCTTTTCTTTTCTTCTTCTTTTTTGCTAATAAAAAAAACTTTAAATTAAAATACGAAATTTAAAGAAGTTCTATAGGAACTCAAAAATTACATGAAAAGGGTATGGATGAAAAATGATAGAACATTCATACTGCCTTGCCCTCTGAAAAAATTAAACTTTAAACAATTTTTTTTGATTCAATCATCTCTTTGTCTATTTGAATCGAATATTTTGAATACCAACTAAGATTTAAAATACTAATAAATCACATAATATCTCCAGCTATTTTTATCTCTTTTTTGAAATTCAGAAATAGTAAGCTATTCCATAAGGGATTTCTGAAGTAAGTTATTTATCTTATTATGTTATTATTAATCAAGTATTTCTTATATAACTAGAACGACCCTTACAAACTACGACTACTAAAGGTATAGTATGATAATTTTATATTTTTTGATGATGATTATTAATATCAAATTGGGAACTAAACATTCAAATATACTAAGAATTGATATTAAATGAAATTATTATATATAGCCATGTAGGTGAGCCACCAAAAGACATAAAGGATGGAATTAGGAAGTTTGGTATATAGATTATCACAAGTTGGATCACATAAAGCAAAAAAGCAACGTAAAGGATGAATCTTTCTTATTGTAATTGATTAGACCAACTCAAACTCTTTTAATACTAGTTAATCTCAAAATTTACACCACCAAAAGATATTCAAAATTTACTTTTGAAGTTACGTCTTTTAATGTTACAATTAAAACAAAGCGCTTACACATTAAACTGATGTTTAAAGTCACGTCTTTTAATGTTATAACTTAACTTATTTATTTCAGGCTTAAGTATTTTATAATTTAATGTATGTAATATAATCTTTCACGTATTACTTCTAATCTTAGATAAATACAATTATAGTCTAGGGATGGTAGTGTGTACGCAAATCTTACCCCTGCCTTATAAGAATAGAGAGACTGTTTTCGATAGACTCTCGGATCAAGACAACCATAATCTTCTAATTTTTAGATAAATAGATACGCATAAACTTAAAAATACAACTGACATTATACACTCACCTAATTCCATTTTTAATACATATTCAAATAATTAAAAATAATATCATATATAAAATCATCCATTTCCACCCGGATTTTGTGTTTGACTAACAATGTAAAGATTATTTGTATAATCAAGATAGTTTAACACATTATAGCATGTCAGTTATTTTTTTTTTCAGGTTATCAATTAATGTATAAATAATTTTTTTCTAACGCCAGTAAGTAGAACTTAAACTCTACGAAACCAGAATAATATTCATGGATTTTAATTTTTATTCCATTTATTACCAAATGGTGTTGAGAGTAAAACAAGAGCAGAGGCTTGCAGTTACTTCAAGCGGAGCCGCATTGAACCAAGGGATGTCAAAGCGGCACCTCTTCGCCGGAAAATTATACTATATTACTAGATAATTTTTTAATTTTATGTATATTTACTATACATTGATTTTTCTTGACTTTTCGATATATCTGATTATTTATATTTTGATACTCCTTGATGAAAATTCTGACTCCGCCACCTACTTCAACATCTTAGATACATAAAAAGCTGGACATAAAAACGGAACGTGTCTAGTCTCTTCAAAAATGCTTTACTTAGTAATGTTGCCCAATCACTCAATAAATATCGTACGTTATTGGGTGTTACACACAATAATAACACGATACAGTTATATGGGAGAATCTAACCAGTTTACCGTAAATCTTTTATCTATATTTTAAATTGGTAATTATGACTTACATACATGTTTCTGTAGTTATAAATACATCAATTTTATTTTACAAAATTCAAAGATTATGATATATTTAAATACACGCCAAAAATTTAACGCTCGAATCGTCTCACATAAAGTGGGACGGAGAAAGTATACATGAAATGTAGCTAAATGACACGGTATAGACGCTATAAAAATAATAGCAAAAAAAAAAAATATATATTTTTTTATATTTTTTGTATATATATACAATTTGTATGTTATACATAAAAATTATATAAATTTTATACACTTTTTCGACTACCAAATATAAATAATTTCTTGCGCGCCGGCTAAAAGTTATAATACCTCTTTAGTTTCTCCTTCTGGCAAATTGAATGTTAGAGTAGGCTTACATTAAAAGTTCGTTGGGGTAGTTGAACCCCCCACCCCACCCCCTACTCCATCCCCCACTTCTCCTACAAGCTTCTCAATACACTCTTTAAATTCTCATACTACTAAGTTTTTTCCCTCTCAACACATCTCTCTTTCTAGCTACCATTCTTCCTTAGTTTATTCCAAAACTCATTATCTTTTCTCACTTGGGTATTTCTTGTTTTCATTTGAAGTAAAAAAAAATCCAAGAAAATCCCTTATTTCACTTGTTATTGTTGATTGATTTGTGGGGTTGGTTCCAATTCTAGTGAATATATTGTAACATACAATGGGAGATGAATCAAATGGAAAAGTTTCAATTGAGGCTCAAGAAAGAAGTAGTTATAATAACAAACTTCCTAATTTTCTCCTATCAGTTAAGCTCAAATATGTAAAACTTGGCTACCATTATTTGATTAGCCATGTTATGTATTTGTGTCTTGTTCCAATTTTAGGTGCTGTTTCTGTTCATCTTTCTACACTTACTGTAGAAGAAGTTGTCCAATTATGGTACCAACTCAAATTCAATCTTGTCACAGTTCTTTTATGCTCAGCTCTTATGGTTTTCTTGGCTACACTTTATTTTATGACTAGGCCAAGAAAAGTGTACCTAGTCGATTTTTCGTGTTACAAACCTAAACCAGATTTTATGTGTCCTAAGGAATTATTTATGGAAAGATCAAAAGAAGCTGGAATTTTTATCGATGAAAATTTGGCATTTCAGAAAAAAATATTGGAGAGGTCAGGTTTAGGTCAAAAGACATATTTTCCAGAAGCACTTTTGAAAGTACCACCAAATCCTTGTATGGCTGAGGCAAGAAAAGAAGCTGAAATGGTTATGTTTGGTGCAATTGATGAATTGTTAGAGAAAACTGGTGTTAAGGCTAAAGATATTGGGATTCTTGTGGTGAATTGTAGTTTGTTTAATCCAACTCCATCACTTTCTGCTATGATTGTTAATCATTATAAGCTTAGAGGAAATATTATGAGTTATAATCTTGGTGGTATGGGCTGTAGTGCTGGATTAATTTCAATTGACCTTGCCAAGCAGATGCTACAGGTTTGTTCCTTTTCAAGACTATTTTTTTTTTTAATATTAGTGTTAGTATTAACGGTAAAGTAGATATCTGCAATAACTTGGTAATTGTTTATAACAAATTTGATGTAACAACCTGAGAAATAAAGTAGATAATATATTATACTGATATGTTAACTTACACTGATAGTGAATCTGTTACACTATTTAAACTTATGTCGTTTGGACTTTCCAAAAATACCGACGGGTTTGTGCTGGATCCTTTAAAAGTAACATAGTTTTGCATGATTTGACACCAGTGCAACAACATTTTTGAAGAATCCGACAAATTTTTTTGTCCTTTGTGAGAATATTAGGTTGTAGTACTACTTTTGAGCGTGTGTCTTGGGATTCTATTAAGTTTCATGGAGCACTAGTTTTGATTACACCTTATGTTAGGCTATATCCAATAAAGCATTTTATTTGTTTTCTGGTTATAAATTGTGTGATATATAGAGAACTCTTAGATTAAAGAACTTCTACTTTGTTTTAAGAATTTTTTTTACTATTTGGATAATGGACCTCAAATCCCAGTAGAGAGAATTAAATTTATATAATATAATTGACTCCAACTAATTTAAGATGTAGAAATTAGTTGATTAATCAATCTGCTTTCAACCTTCATCGAGATTCGTACACATAAAGATATCACATAATTTTCTGAATTCAATATTAAAGAATAAACCTATCGCATCTCCAATTCAAGTACATGGCCAATTTAATGTCGAATCTCTACTTAACTCTATGCTAGCTTTTAATGCTAATCCCACTTCTCAAAAAATCCTTCATATTATCTTTCTCCCATGTGGGAAGCTGAACTCAGCTTTCTATCTATGGTCTTAGATTTTCCATTGTGCTTTAATTTCAATAACAACATCATGTCCAGTGCGATTTTATTTGTCGGTTTGGGGAGGGTGGAGTGTACAGATCTTACCCCTTGTGCTGAGGTAAAAAAACTATTTTCAATGGACTCCGACTCAAGAAAAGTGTTTACAAATACGGATTGTGCTTTAATTCCTTACTAGAAAAAAAAGAGCAGTTTGGTGCATGCACTTAACTCCCGCTATGCGCGGGGTCTAGGAAAAGGCGGGGCCTTACTATGCATTTCTGTAAGAGTCTGTTTACAGGCTCGAACTTGTGACCTCCTGGTCACATGGACATAAATTTGCGTATAAACTATTTCTAGTTATTTATAATAATTTGTCAATGCTAACTTATCCATATGTTATCACATGTTGTAACAGGTACATCCCAACTCTTATGCACTAGTAGTCAGTATGGAAAACATAACACTCAATTGGTACTTTGGCAACAACAGATCAATGCTTGTTTCAAATTGCATTTTCAGAATGGGTGGTGCTGCAATTTTACTATCAAATAAATCCTCAGATCGTCGTCGTTCAAAATATCAACTCATTCACACAGTACGTACACACAAAGGTGCAGATGACAAAAGCTATAGTTGTGTATTTCAAGAAGAAGATGACAACAAAAAAATTGGTGTAGCATTGTCCAAAGACCTAATGGCTGTAGCAGGAGAGGCTTTAAAAACAAACATCACAACTCTCGGGCCAATAGTCCTTCCTATGTCCGAACAACTACTATTTTTCATCACATTAGTCGCGAGAAAAGTTTTCAAGATGAAAATTAAACCGTATATACCAGATTTTAAGTTGGCGTTCGAGCATTTCTGTATTCATGCAGGTGGAAGGGCGGTGTTGGACGAGTTAGAGAAGAATCTTGAGTTAAGTCAATGGCATATGGAACCCTCAAGAATGACATTATATAGGTTTGGAAATACTTCAAGTAGTTCATTGTGGTATGAATTGGCATATACTGAAGCTAAAGGAAGGATTAAGAAAGGAGATAGAACATGGCAAATTGCATTTGGATCAGGTTTTAAATGTAACAGTGCAGTGTGGTGTGCACTTAGGACAATTAATCCTGCTAAGGAGAAGAATCCATGGATGGATGAGATTGATGAATTCCCAGTTCAAGTACCTAGAGTTGTAACAATCAATGATTCCTAAAGTATGATATTTAGGAGGGAATTATGTGATCATTGTAATATTACCTTTGTTATTATTAGTACTTGGCGGATATGTACTTTGATTATGCTTTAAGAAAGCAATACAATTACTTCTGTTTTAGCTAATGTACATTGCTATATTTTTCGATTTTTTGGTGTTGCTATTATTGGTGGTGTATTCTCGTATTTTCCGTCTTCTTGAGCCGAAGGTCTTTCAGGAATAACCTCTCTACTCCTTCGGGATAGGGGTAAAGTCTACTACCCTCCCGAGACTCCATTTGTGAGATTTTACTGGGTTGTTGTTGTTGTTGTTGTTGTTGTTGTTGTTGTTGTTGTTGTTGTTGTTGTTGTTGTTGTTGTTGTTGTTGTTGTTGTTGTTGTTGTTGTTGTTGTTGTTGTTGTTGTTGTTGTTGTTGTTGTTGTTGTTGTTGTTGTTGTTGTTGTTGTTGTTGTTGTTGTTGTTGTTGTTGTTGTTGTTGTTGTTGTTGTTGTTGTTGTTGTTGTTTTGGTGGTGTGTTTGTGGAGAGGTAGATCAGGTAGACTTAAGAAGTTATAGAGAGGTGATTAGGCAGGACATGACCTTGATAGGAAGGTGTCGAGGTCGAGAATTAGGGTAGAAGGTTAGTAGGTAGCTGAGTGTCGCTCTTTTCCATTCCTGTAGTATTAGTATTATTCTCGTATTTTCTTATACTTACATCTTTATTACTGGTTATTTTTTTTGCTTCTGTTTCCTTATTATCTTAACTTGTTGTTTGTCACTGCTTGTTATTACTGCTTTCTTTTTTATCTTTCCTTGAGCTAAGAGTTTATCAAAAACAACCTCTCTAACTTCACAAGAGATAAAGTCAGCATATGTCAAGAATATTTTTTATTCTTCTATTCTATTGTACGCATGTGATGACCCTCACTTGTTTTAAAATGAAATTCTACGTTCCGAGGTCTTAAAAACCACTTCTAGCATCACCTCGATTTGCGTGCGCAGTTCGGGCGCGTAGCCGGAAAGCCTAAATATGAAAATCTGTGAAAATGAGAAATTTTAACTATAAAATGAATTAATTTAACTTCGGTCAACGTTTTGGGTAAACGGACCCGGACCCGTGATTTGACGGTCCCAGAGGGTCCGTAGGAAAATATGGGACTTGGGCGTATGCCCGGAATCGAATTCCGATGTCCCAAGCCCGAGAAATGAATTTTTGAAAGAAATTTTCTGAAATTGTTTATGAAGTTTGGAAATGAATTTTGATTAGAACATGTTGGTATCAGGCCCGTATTTTGGTTCTGGCGCCCGGTACATGTCTTATATATGATTTAAGATGATTCTGTGAAGTTTGGTAAGAAACGGAATCCGTTTGATGTGATTCGGACCTTAAATGCAAAATTTAATGTTTAAAGAAGTTTTGAGAAATTTCATTGATCTTGAGGTTTAATTCGATGTTTATGATGTTATTTTGGGGATTTGAGTACACGAATAAGTCCGTAGGATATTTTTGAGGTTGTGTGTATATTTGGTTTGGAGCCCCGAGGGCTCGGCTGAGTTTTGGATAGGCCATGGGGTGCATTTCGGACTTAGAAAAATTGCAGGTTTTTCACTGGTGTGTTCTGGCTTGCAGTCTTCGCATTTGCGAAGCCTGGCTCGCAAATGCGAGTTCGCAAATGCGAGTTCGCAATTGCGAAGGCTGAGTCGCAAATGCGAAACAGCCCAGGCCACTCTTCCTCGCAAATGTGAGTGTTCCTTCGCATATGCGAAGCACCCCTCTTGGGCCAGTTATCGCAATTGCGAACTATTGTTCGCATTTCCCTTCTCGCAATTGCGAGGCCCCTTTTGCATTTCCCAACCCAACATAGGTCGGGGTTCGCAATTGCGAAACCCTGTTCGCATTTCCCATATCTGCAACCTGCAATTTTTATACTTAGACGATTTTCAACCCATTTTTCACATCTTTTCAAAACACAAACTCCTTAGGGTGATTTTCCAAGAACAAATCTTCTTCCAAATCGATTGTAAGTTAATTTTTACTCATTTCTTTCAATCATTAACATCTTTTAACATGATTTCAACTCAAAATCAATGATTTTCATGAGAGAAATTGAGTGTTTTGGGTAGAACCTAAGTTTTTCAAAAATTGGGGATTTGGACATCGATTTGAGGTCCGATTTCAAAACAAGTTATATATTTGGGTTTGTGGAGGAATGAGTAATCGAGTTTTGGTTCGAACCTCGGGTTTTGACCATGTGGGCCCGGGGATAATTTTTGACTTTTTGGGCAAAAACTTTGGAAAACTCATTTTTATGCATTCAAATTGATTCATTTGGCATTTATTGATGTAATTAAGTAACTTGTGACTAGATACGAGCGAATTGATGGTGGAATCAAGGGGTAAAGCTATAATTGAATCGTGAATTGTGTTCGTGGCATCGAGGTAAGTGTTTGGTCTAACCTTAGCTTGAGGGATTAGGAGTTGAGTCCTATTTGCTATCTGGTAATTGTTGAGTACGACGTATAGGCATGGTGACGAGTATCTATACATTGGTGTCTAGCATGCCCGTGAGTCTTTATATTGCGATTATCATGACTTTGTTGTATCTTTCATGCCTTAGTAGTGGTTTCTATTTGTTGTATAAAGTTTGTGGAAGGAATTGTGATCTATGAACCTTAAGGAGCGTTGGCGCAAGTTGCATAACGAATTGTGAAAGTATAAGTGATAATTAAACCTCTAGAGCATTGGCTCTAGTTGTGAAGTGTATAGTGAAGCAAAAGTGATAAAGAGAAGAGATCATTATGTTGTCACCCTTGCCTGGGCTATTATTGATTTATTTGTTATCTTCCTTGTCGGGATGTTGATGTTATTGATGTTGTTCCCTCGTCGAGATTAAATTGTTGAATTGTTGTTCCCTTTCCGGGATTTTCATTGCAAATTTCTTTTGTTCCCTTACCCGATTATTTGTGATTGTTGTTTGGGTGAGGAAGAGAGTTAAAACACGAAAGGTGATGCCGTGCATTGTTTGTTTTGTGAGGAAAGAGTGTAAAACACGAAGGGTGATGCCGTGTATGATTGTGAGGAAAGAGTGTAAAGCACGAAGGGTGATGTCGTGCCGCACGATGTACCATTCTGTGCTGATTATATTGATTATATGGTGCGGAAAGAGAGTAAAAGCACAAAGGGTGATGCATTGTACATTTTTATTATATGATTGCTTTGGTGAGGACGAGAGTAAAACACGAAGGGTGATGCCGTGCATTTGTTGATTTCTAATTCTTTGTTGATACCATAGTTATATTGTTTCTTTCATTACTTGATGTCTTTATATTGGGAATTGTTATCTCCCCCACAACATGCTCCCTCTCCTATAATGACTGGTTATTTCTGTATTTCTTTCCGTTGTATATGTATTTGAACTGCACAGGTTTATTTGGTAGTATAGTCCTAGCCTCGTCACTACTTCGCCGAGGTTAGGCTAGACACTTACCAGCACATGGGGTCGGTTGTGCTGATACTACACTCTACACTATGTGCAGATCCCGAAGCAGCTTTTGGACCGTAGTGTGGAGGCTACCTTCATTTCCACGCGGAGATCAAAGGTAGACCTGTAGGCGTCCGCAGGCCCTGGCATCTCCTCTATTCCTATTTCCTATTTTATTTTCTTTTTATTCAGAAATAGTGTATTGTCATTTTCTTCATACTTAGTATGTAGTAAATATTAGACCGTCTGTGACACTATGGCACCAGGTTTTGGGTGCTTTAGGTTATAAGAGTTGTAATAGATGCAGATTTCAGATATTTAATTGTTATCTTCTGCTTAATTATTTAAAGTTCCGTTGTTTTCAAGTTATCGCCTTATATTTGTTAAAAAGAAATAATTGGGTAATAAAGTAAGTAGTTAAATGATTGGCTTGCCTAGCTCACATTAGTAGGCGCCATCACGACTCCTGAGGGTGGAAAATCCGGGTCGTGACAAGTTGGTATTAGAGTTCTAGGTTACATGGGTCTCACAGTTCACAGATAAGCTTAGTAGAGTCTGAGGGATCGGTACAGAAACGTTTGTATTTATCCCCTAGAGGCTACAGAGTTAGGAACAACTTCACATTTATTCTCTCCTATCGTGCAGTTTGGTTTCTCAATGCTAATTGAGATTCTACTGTGTTCTTTCGCAGATGGCGAGAACACTCACTTCCTCATCCACTAACCAGCAGCCCGAGCCCCCAATAATAACTCCCAGGAGGGGCAGAGGGCGAGGCCGAGGCTGTGCTAGAGGCTGAGGTAGGGGTAGAGCTCAGCCTCAAGCAGCAACACCAGCGACAGAGCCTTAGGTTGACTTTGATGATGAGGTTCCGACCCCAACAGTTCCAGTAGGCCCTGCTCTGGTCCTAGAGGGGTTTATTGCTACCCCAGTTCTTTAGGATGCTCTGGTTCGTCTGGTGGGCCTCATGGAGAGTGTCACTCGAGAAGGCTTGCTTCTTGTAGCACCAGCTGTTTGATTGATTCCCTTTCCTTATTTTTCCAAGCCGTGTACCATTGACTATTTTCCTTAAATAACTTCTATGTACTTACCCCTTTTGTGCTACTTTGAAAGGTTTTAATTAGAAATTTCTTTCCTTAATTAATTTTTATCCATTGGAATAAGAATCCCTTAACCAAAGGGAGACTGATTTCAATGATTTTTCTTTGCCTGTCTTATTTTCTCCTCTGCACTATAAAAGGGGCATGACCCTTCTGCACTTAGACATCTTGAACCTTCAGTTTAATACTTCGAATTCAATACTTTACACACACACCTCTCAATTACAATACTCTTTCAATACTCTACTCTCTTATGAGATCTTTTGTACCGTCTGCTTGCAATCTGGTCTACAAGACTTCAACTTTCACTTATTTGTTTTCCATTAAACTCGTATGCCTTAATTTTGATTTCAGCACCATCCCTATGTGTTTACTTTATAATTGCTACACTCATGTCTACTTTGTTGTTCATGTTCTGTATTGAATATGCTACTCTCTCTTTGCATCTGCTGTTTGTTATGAATTCCCTATACCCCCACTCCCTTCTATGTGTTTGAGTTAAGGTTCATGGCCTGACATCATCCAAATTGCCGCTTTGGTCTGAACCTAATCCTCAATGGATCCCAA